TTAGGGAAGGGGAAATGGAAGCACAGGGGTGTTCCTGGGAGGGTGAGCTCACTGGGTCTTCCTTCCTAAGAATTTTAAGGGTGGAGCTTTGAGAGGAAGATCTAAATAGAATATTCAGCAGTTTTTCAGGTGTGCCCTTTCTTGTAAAAAACCAATAAAATATATTTAAAAATAATTAAAAATGGAACTTCCATTTGACTAAGATGATAATTCAAAAACTGTGGCTCTATTCTTATTATGTGTCATTCCCTACTATTATAAACTTTTAGGGGGGGTGGGCATTGGGTGTTACACCCATTTGTGTGAGACTGGTCCTGGGTTCAGCAACCTTGGTACTTGAGTTTTAGCTAGGAAAGAATTAAGAGCCAAGACCAAATCTCTAAGAAAATATTTATTTGGCTAATCACAGAGGCCTCCACTGATTGATTGGCCAGCACCAGGGCAGGGCATCGTTATTCAATACAGCTGGTCCTTTAGTCAGCTGTGGCTGGTTTTATTGCTAATGTGGACCTACAGTTGAAAAAACTGAGGCCTAGATGTTAACTTTAGGGAGGAAAGGTCACTCTGGGAGTGAGGTCCCACCCTACAATTGTCCTTTGCTAGGAATCTGGGGCTTTCTATCCTGGTTACCTTCTGTACCAGGCCCATTGTCTTTGCTCTGTTCATGTCTACCACAGTATTAACAATTAAAGAAATAAGTTCCCAGGGAGAAAAACAAATTTATCAAGAGCAAATCATTTAGCCCTAGCTGGTTTGGCTCAGTGGATAGAGCGGCATCAGACTGAAGGGTCCTGGGTTCGATTCTGGTCAGGGGCATATACCTGGATTGCAGGCTCATCCCCAGTAGGAGACATGTAGGAGGCAGCCGATCAGTGATTCTCTCTTATCATTGATGCTTTTATCTCTCCCTTTCCTTTCCTCTCTGAAATCCATAAACATATGTTGTTTTTTTAAGGGGTAAATCATTTAGCCCTGGCCAGTTGCTGTGGCAGGGGAGCACATCCCCAATGCCCAACGGTTAGAGTGTAGGCCTGCACACCAAAGCTTCGGGATTGGATTCCTGGTCAACAGCATTGGGTTGCAGGTTTGATCCCTAGGCCTGAGACAACCAATCATGTGTCTCTCCCACATCAATGCTTCCCTCCCCCACCCTCTCTCTTTCTTTCCTCTAAAATATCAATGGAAAAAATATCCTCTGGTGAGGATTAACAAGAGTAAACCATTTAGCTCTCAACAAGTATAACTTGGACCCAGGTCTGGCCCACTCCCTCTCCACTATACCATTTTCAGATTGTCTCTGCCTTCACCCACTGCTATCTGGTAGCGCCACTTAATGACACTACTACATGCCTGGCCGCCTCCACAGGCCACTGGACCAGCACCTGCGCAGTCAGTTCTGCCGGCAGCGCTCAGCCCCGCCCCTAAGAGACGCCCCGTCCTCTGGTGAGCCCCAGAGAAAACATCTTTACCATTGGTCTGCGCAGCCGCGCAGGCGCAGTTCGGGCACCACCGCGAGCCCCGCCCCTTTTCCTGTCGCCTGTCTTTTGAGTTTGGTTTGCAAGGTGACGTTGGAACCCGAGGGTGCGGAAAAGCTGGGTTGTGGACCCCCGCCAAGTCTCAGCACCACGGAGGTGCCGGGTGTTGCCGAGGGCGCGGGGCCGGTTGCCGCCGGTGGTGCGCTCCGCCCCGGGGCCCCAGCCCCTGCGCTGGGCCCGGCCCTGGCTCCAGCCCAAGGCCAGGCTAGGGCCTCGCAGCTCACCTTCCTGGTGATGCGTCCCTGCGGAAGGCAGGAGGAAGCTGCGGCCGACAGAGTCCTGAGGCAGGCTCCTGCCCTGGGGGGCAGTGCCGGGGCGGGCAAGCCTATTAGGTATCCTTCTGAAGCGGCGGGGGATGGAGAGGAGGAAGCGGGGGAGGACGAAGCCGACCTGCTGGACACTTCGGACCCTCCGGCGGGAGGAGAGAGCACGGCTAGTTTGGAGGACCTGGAGGACGAAGAGACCCACTCCGGGGGCGAGGGCGGCAGCAGGGGAGCCCGGAGGCGGGCCAGCGGTGGGGGCAGCATGTGCAAGACCTGCACTTACGAGGGCTGCAGCGAAACCACGAGCCAGGTGGCTAAGCAACGCAAGCCGTGGATGTGCAAGAAACACCGCAACAAGATGTACAAGGACAAGTACAAAAAGAAGAAAAGTGACCAGGCCCTGAATTGCGGTGGAGCCGCCTCAGCTGGCAGTGCGGGGAACGTCAAACTGGAGGTATTAGACTTTAGCTAGGGTCTTGGGGAGTGGGAGGGGGGAAAAAGCAATCCCACTCTGTGCAAACCTCATTTCCTGCCCCTGCCCACTGGCCCTGATATGGACCATGTTGCTGTGGCTGGACTTGAGGCTTGAGAGTGAGTGAGTGCTTGCCTTAAAGTTTATGCAAACGTGTGCAAAGCCTTAATAGTTCTGTTGCATCCTTTTGATAGATGAATAAATTTCAATGAAAGTGATGTTGCACATCAGAAAAGATGTAATTTCTAAGGTCTGGGATATGTACTGGAAGGACAGATAGTAAATGACTGATCCGGTTCATCACTAAAGGAGCAGGCAAAGAGACAGGAACCCAGATGAAATTGGTACTTTGGAGAAGGCAATCTCTTACTGTTTTCACTACCCTGTCTATTGTCAGTATCCTGTTTTGAGTATCAAGGTTCTTAGTACTCTGCTCCCTGTACCCCTATACTTAATACCCTATTCACAGTAAACCCATGCTTAGTCCCCTGTTCTCACTACTTTTTTTTTTAGTACCTCTGGAGAAAAATAATTAAATAATAATGGGGTATAAGCCTCAGAAGATTTTTAGATTGTTTGAACTGTGTTGACAGTTAAAGTCAGTATGCTGAAGTTGGACTGCTGACTGCAAATCTCCATTCTATCATTCCCTGGCCATGTGCCCTTGAACAGGTTATTAAACACTCTTAAGCTTAAGTTTCTTCATCTGTAAAATGGCTGTTAAAATAGTGCCTTATTCATAATGTTACTGTGAATATGTGAGGTATTCCATATTGAGTGTTCACACAGTGTCCAGCAGATAGTAAAAGTCAATAAGCCTTAGCTATTATTGGTGTCACTAGAGGCCCGATGCATGAAATTCGTGCAAGAGTAGGCCTTCCTTCCCCCGGCTGCCGGCACTGGCTTCCCTCTGGACCTGGACCCGGGCTTCCCTGGCAGCCTCGGCTTCGTCTGGAAGGATGGATGTCTGTTTAATTAGCATATTACTCTTTTATTATATATTATTAGTGGTATTCTTTGAAGTTATTACAGATAAGCAGATACTTCATCCTGTGTGTTTTCTAATACTTCAGTGCAGAGAAAACTTGAATTTTGTTAAAAGTGATTCAGAAAATAACTTTCAAAACTGAAAGCTGTCCTAGACTGTATTTTAAAAGTCTTTAAATTTCTTAGTTTTTGGCTGGACTTGAACAGCTGCCTCATTGCTCACATTTTAGATTTTGCAATTGTTTACAAATGTTCTATATATTTCTAATATCTGAAGTCACCAACATGTCGTACTTAATTCACAGATTAGAGTCTTCTGACTTCTCATTCTCTTTTATTCCATTGAGTCCTAATCTGTTTAGAGTAAAAGGACTCCTTTTAGAATTTGATGAAACCTAATGAACGCTTTTCCCAGAAAAATGCACATATGTAGGTATTTAATTTTTCATACACATTCATGGAGTTCAGGATGCCTGTGGATCTTAGGTTTAAAATCTGCCCTATCCATATCCTTGTAAAATGCAATATTTTACCATGTCTCGGATTACAAGGAATTATGGAAATAAACATCTCATTTATTACAGAGTGAAAGTCAGGTAAGGGTGGTCCTTTATCTTTTTGTATATTCCAAAAGTACCCATTCACTTCATAGTTCATTACAGAGAGAGAAGATAATATACTTCTTTTCACTTTTCAAGAAAGACGTTATTTACCTGGAACTATTGTCTTTTTTTAAATGGCCCAGCATTTCCACCTACAGTTTGAGGTAAATGTATAAAAGGTAAATTGATACTGGATTACAGTCTCTCCCCTCACCTTCCCCCGCCCCCCAAAAAAATACAACCTTAATAATGTTCCTTTTCAAAAATAATTTGGGTGATTTGTTGATGGTAGCCATTCAACAGGTGTGAGGTGATGTTTCATTGCCATTTTAATTTGCATCTCTCTGATAATTAGTGACTTTGAGCATTTTTTCATGTTTGGCCATCTGTACTAGTATGTCCACTTTAGAGAAGTGTCTGTTTAGGTTCTTTGCCCATTTTTAATTGTATTGTTTGTATTCCTTTTGTTAAGTTGTATGAGTTTCTTATATCTTTTGGAAATTAACTCCTTATCAGATGTTTCATTGGTAAAATACAGTGGGCTCTCTTGTTGTTTTGTTTATGGTTTCTTTTGCTGTGCAGACGCTTTTTACTTTGATGTAGTCCCATTTGTTTATTCTCTCATTGTTTCCCTTGACCTAGGAGATGTATGGACAAACATATCTATGAGAGATGCCTGAGATTTTGGTGCCTATGGTTTCCTCTAGGATTTTTATGGTTTCACAACTTACATTTAAGTCTTTTATCCATTTTGAGTTTATTCTTGTGTATGGTGTAAGTTGGTGTGTCTAGTTTTATTTTTTTGCATGTACCTGTCCAATTTTCCCAATGCCATTTATTGAAGAGAGTATTTTAATTCCATTGTATGCTCTTGCCTCCTTTGTCAAATATTAATTGAGCATAATGTCTTGGGTTGATTTCTGGGTTCTTTTTCTGTTCCATTGATCTATTTGCCTGTTCAAAAGTGCTGGCAAGGATGTGGAGAAAAGAGAACCTTAATACACACTGGTGGGAATGCAGACTGGTGAAGCCAGTGTGGAAATCAGTGATCCCACTTCTGGGAATATATCCTACGAAACCTGAAAAACCAATAGCGAAGATCTGGAAACAGCCCAAGTGCCTGACAGTAGATGAATGGATAAAAAAAGCTGTGGTACATTTACACCATGGAATACTATGCAGCTGTAAAAAAGAGACAGCTTGGAAGGATTTGTAGAATATGATTCTAAGTGAAATAAGCCAGTCAGAGAAAGACAAGTATCACACGGTCTTACTCATATGTGGAATCTAATGAACAAAATAAACTGAACAAAATAGGTCCAGAGACAGAAGCATGGAATAGACTGAGGAATCTCAGAGGGAAGGCAGGGGTGAGGTGTGGTGTGGGAAAAGATTAACCAAAAAACTTATATGCATATATGCATAAGCCATGGACACAGACAATAGTGTAGTGAGTGCGGGGGAGGGTGGGGAGGTGCAGGGTTTCAATGGGAAAAGAAAAGGGGTCATATGTAATACTTTCAACAATAAAGATAAATTTTTTGAAAAGAAGGTAATCATAAACAGTAATAATAAAAACAAAATGGAAAAAAAGCCATAAGATTAAACTTCAAAAATATTGCAATTTGGGGATGATTTAGGGATGGTAATTAATTGCTATAAGCAAGAAATAATAGCATACTATACCATTTGTGTTATATTTTCAGACCTTTTACCAGTTGAGATTTCAAGAACTGTATGTCTTTATCTTTATTGAACTGAGTGTAAAGAAAATACCAGTGACAGTCTGGATAGAATAAGGGCCAACTATGTAGACTGCTTTAGTAGTAGAGAGGAGGATGGATCATTGTAGGCTGAGACACTCTGGGAAGGCTTTGCAAAAAAAAATGGAAGTTTAAGACAGAAAGGGTGGCTACTTATGCTTAATCAGCTACATTTCGTATGTGCCATACACTGCTAAGCTGTAAATGAAGCCACACAATGGGATAGGTACTGTCCTATATACTAAAAGCCTAATATGTTAAGTGTCCAGTCGACTGGTCAGCCATTCAGCCAATCAAAGCGTAATATGCTAATATGCTAAGGCCGCTCAATCGCTCGCTATGATGTGCACTGACCACCAGGGGCAGACAGTGGACTGGTCGACCAGTCACTATGATGTGCACTGACCACCAGGGGGCAGACGCTCCGACCAGTAGGTTAGCTTGCTGCTGGGGTCTGGCCGTTCGGGACTGAGCAAGACAGGCCGGACACGCCCTGGAGCCCTCCTATGGTCCCTCCCTAGCTGGCCAACCTCCCGTGTCCTTCCTTGACCCCGATTGTGCACCGATGGGATCCCTTGGCCTGGCCTGCGCCTTCTAGCAATCCAGGACCCCTTGGATGTCAGAGAGCCAGTTTCGGCCCGATCCCGCAGGCCAGGCCGAGGGACCCCACTGGTGCATGAATCCATGCACCGGGCGTCTAGTATTTTACATATGTGGAAACAGGCACAGAGAGGTAAAGGAACATGGCTTAGATCAGCGGTCACCAAGAGTGGTCCATGGACCACTGGTGGTCCGCGATATCTGAAAGGTTGGCGACTGCTGGCCTAGATGATAGACAAGTACTCAAACCCAAGTACTTGATTCTAGAGCCTTCAGTCTTAACCCATACTGCTTCCCTAGAATTTTGGTAGGTAAAAAGAAAGGCACATTTTAGTAAAGAAACGAAAGTGGGAATATGAAGACACTTTGAAACAACAGCAAGTGGACCATTATAGCTAGAGTAGGATATTTTGTGTGGAAAAATACATGAAAAATAAATGTGGAAAGAGGGTTTGAAGTCAATTTTTGTACCCAGGCTCTAGGGTTTGGATTTGGAATCTTTAAATGAAGGTTTCTGTTTAGGGAGTTACTGGGATTCCTACTTTATTGGGGTGGATTAAAGTCAAAAGCCTATAGCTGTATAGACTCTTTAGGGAGATCATTATATAGGGTGTTCCAAAATTCACGCAAGATTTGCAATTGAATTGAATTGCAAATCTTGCTTGAATTTTGGAGCACCCTATAGTAGGAACTCATAGATGATAATGTGGGTCTTCTGCTGTAGTTTGAGCAGCAAGATTAGAAATTAATGTATTTAAATCAGTATTTCTTACACAAATCAAGGTTAAATAAGGAACACATCTATCTATATATCTACATATAAAAGCCTAAGTGACTGGCTGACCATTTGACCAGTCAACTGTCCAGTAGCTATGATGCGCACTGACCACCAGGGGGCAGACACTCAACGCAGGAGCGAAAACTACAGGCATGGAAACATGGAACAGACTGATGAATCTCAGAGGGAAGGGAGGAGAGGGGGAGGTTGTGAAGAAATTAACCAAAGATCTTATATGCATACTAGAGGCCCTGTGCATGGATTTATGTACCGGTGTGGGCTCGGACATGTCCTGAGGGGTCCCGGATGGTGAGAGGGCGCAGGCCAGGCCAAGGGACCCCACTGGTGCACAAATCTGGGCAACAGGCCTCTAGTTATATTTAAATTGTATTTCTTGAAATATTGTTTATTGCATGTAGCATTATTATATTGACAATCTTTTTTCTTGAAAAAGAGAAAGAAAATGCCGAACATGTATCTAAAAATTGTGCTATGTGAGAGACACATGAACAGGGGATAAAAGAATTAACCTGTAGGGTTGTAATAATTTAATATCTAAAAGGCTATCATATCAAAGAGGCAGTAGATTTATTTTGCATAGTTCTGTAGAAAGTAGGACTTAGGAGAAACTCACAAGAGTTATGTTATTTCAGTTGAACCTAAGTAAAAGCCACCTAAATGTTAGAGCTTTTCAAAACCAGATGGGTTGCCTCAAAAGTTGGTTAAGCTTCTTAGGACAAAAAGCATTCAAAATATTTGAAAAGGGAATTCCAATATTTATAAAAGTTTGGACTAGACAATTCAAGGTTATTTCCACTACAACCTTCTATGATTTTGTGATATTAACATTCTGAATTCACATAGTACTTTGTCAGGGGTTATCCAAATACAGGATACTCTGCCATCAAATCAATTTCAGCATTCCATTTCTTGTGCATATAAAAACATGTTTCTTACCAAGAATTGTCTGACGCCACGTGGGTTTCTAAACTGATGTTCTTTGTAGATTTTTGTGAACATTTGAATGACTTAAATGTTAAATTACAAGGAACTGGCAAGACACTTGATGTTATGTTTGGTTACATAAAGGCTTTTGAAAAGAAACTGGAAGTCTTTAAGAGGGATGTGGATGGTGAGAGATTTAGATATTTCCCAAACCTCAAGAGGCACATCAAAGACCTCCCAAAAGATGACAGAACAGACTGTCAAAGCCTTCAAAAGCTGTTTTTAAACATCATCAAGTCAACTATTGAGCAGTTATTCTCAA